ATTACCGCCAGTGCACCTGCTATTTCTCCCGCCATCTCTTTTAGTACTCTGGGATGCATTCCATCAGGACCAGGAGACTTATCAATCCTTAGCTCCATTAGCTTGCCCAACACTACCTCTTCCGTAATAATGATTGTTTCCAGGTCCTCACCTACCTTCGTCTCTTTGTCAATTACTGGCATGTTATTAGTGTCCTCCACTGTGAAGACCGATACAAAAAACCTGTTCAATGCCTCGGCCATTTCATCATATCCCATAACTAAATTCCCCTTCTCATGCTCTAAAGGGCCAACGTTTACTTTAGCCACTCTTTTTCGTTTTATATATTTATAGAAACTTTTGCTATCTGTCTTAATATTCTGTGCTAGTTTTTTCTCATGTTCTATCTTACTTTTCTTTATAGCTCTTTTTGTGGCTTTCTGTTGACCTTTAAAGTTTTCCCAATCTTCTAGTTTCATGCTGTTTTTGGCCACTTTGTATGCCGTCTCTTTCAATTTGATAGCCTCCCTTATTTCTTTAGACACCCATGGCAGATTACCCCTTTTCTTACAGTCCTTCCTTTTCACTGGAATATACTTTTGCTGAGCACTTTGAAAAATTGCTTTGAAAGTCCTCCACTGCTCGTCAACTGTCCCACCATAAAATCTTTGTTTCCAGTTTACTTTAGCCAAGTCCTCCCTCATTCTATTGTAGTTCCCCTTGTTCAAGCACAGGACCCTGGTATTGGATTTTATCTTCACACTCTCCATCTGTATTCTAAATTCAACCATAACTTCAGGAATTTTTTTTTTTAAGAATTAAATCTGCTATTCAGCTACTGGATGGATATTTGAAGTAATATTGCAAATCAAATTAGCAAACGTGTGCTCTTGGTAGGAATTGTCACCTGCTGGAAGTATGAATCCTGCAAACAGCATAAGTATTCCTCATCAGTTACCCTGCGTTTCGACAAGCAGGTAACTGTGGGAGGCGCATTGCAATTTCCCAAAATGCACTCATACCAGGAATCGGTCAACTCCTTTACTGAGCAGGCTAACACAGTGTGTCTGTGTGAGTAAGGGCAACCAGAAGGAAGACCTCAAACGAATTAAGAAGAGAACTCAGCAGGTCTGGCAGCATCTGTTTTCTCCTCCACAGATGCTGCCAGACCTGCTGAGCTTTTCCAGCAACTTTGTTTTTGTTCCTGATTTACAGCATCCGCAGTTCTTTTGGTTTTTATTACCAGGAGAACTCTTGCTTTTCCTGAGCCCATGCGAAAAAAAACAAATTTCTTATCCACTTGGTGTGCACAGGGTGCCTTCTCATCCAAAAGCAGAAATTGCCGGCGAAACTCAGCATTCTCATCCATGTGTTTCCCAAATTGTGCAAATGAATGCCTATAATTGGCCAGAGATTACAATTTCATATTTAAAGTTCCTCGTGCGTCTTTCAGGTAAGACATAACAATTGCACAATACGGACCTTGGAAGTCAAGGGAACAGTATAACAGCCTCCATTCCAATTAGACAACACCCCACCCTCATCCGGACAGCCACAAAATATATGAACGTCCGTTGAATTTCTCTCTATGCTTTCTGTTTCAATCGTTTGCTCCAAAAGCATTCCACATCCGCAGGGTTCCTTGATCATAAAATAAAGTTTCTCCTGTTACGTACCATATCTGTACTTAATTTTGTATCCTGATCCCTTTGTTGTAGGCTCCTCAGCTAAAGGGAATACTGTAATATATTAAACTCTATCATAACTACTGGACTGTTTTACAAGAGCAAAAGTCATAATCGTTTTAAAAAATCATTTACCCACAGGTCGACATACCTCCGTTCAGTCCTTGAGTTTCGAAACAAGACCTTTTTTCGTGAATACTATGATCATAACTGCAATACACACTACCGGGTGTAGGACGTCAATTAACTGATTGGAACTTAAAAGTCAATGATAACAATTAAATGGAGGGTTTTACTTCCTGCATATCTCGTGTATATATAATCCAACTGCCTCGGTGCCACGCTGGTTGCTAGCTTACACTGAACAATACAAGAGAGCGTAAAATGGAAAGGAAAACCAAAAGGACATGAGGATGTTAAATCAACCTACATCACGCGGACTGCAGCGGTTCGAGAAGGCAGCTCATCACCACCTTCTCAAGGGCACCAAGGGACTGGCAATGAATACTGGCTCAGCCAGCCACGTTCACGTCCAGCGAGTGAGTTAAAATAAAGTAAACGGTTGGTATCAACACAGCAGGAAAACAACACTTGTCAAAATAAAGAAGAAACCAACTAGGAAACGGAATAGATCTTCAATTGGAGACGGTGTACAGTGTTCCACGCCCACACTCAAGCGCCACCTATTTACGCAAGTCTAAAAATAGCGATCCATCTTGTTTATTGAACACACCTATGAAAGGTTTGCATGTCGCTGACCTTTTACTGCTCAGTATACATACGGTCCTGACAACAGTTTCCTCCCAATCAGTAGGCGTCCTGCCTATAATAGTGAGGCTAGTGGAACGGAGAGGCACAATGAGGCCAGGATTTAAAAGAGTTTTCCAGAAGTTCTAAAAATGTGAGAGATTATAGACATAGGGAGAGACAAAGCCTGAATGTGATCTGGTGAACAATTCTGTTTCGTATCGCAAGACGTCAGGCGGGAGGAGTGAAATATACGGACATAGGCCATGGAAACGCTCTCACTGCCTTACGTGGCCCAGGCTATTTTGATACTGAGCTGGGACCAGTGCCCAAGACAAATGTGTTGTTAAATTTTGGGACATAAAGTCCCCTACCCTCCACCTCCACACTTTGATCTCATTTCATATCCTCCACTCAGGAATGGCTGTAAGTGGGACTGTTTTAGGGAGAGAGCGGTAGACATCGAGGAAGGAGAGGTGTCAAACAAAACTCAAAAATATACAGGGATAGCACTGGGGCCAGGGTTGGGCTGAAAGGCTAGTGAGAGCTGGGGTAGTGAAGTGGAAAATAAATGGTGGGGGGGTGGAAGTGGTGATGGTGGGGGGAGAATGAGAGCTGAGGTTATGACTGTGGGATCTGGGGCAGGGTGGGTGAGAGCTGGGGTCTATGGCTATGGGATATGGGGCAGGGTGGGTGAGAACCAGGAGATTTGGCTGTGGGACCTTGGGTAGGGTACATGAGAGCCATTGGACTATAACCTGGTGTTGTGTGATTTTTGACCTTGTCCATCCCAGTCCAACTCCAGCACCTCCACATCAAGATTTTCACTTGGTCTTGCACACTATTTCTCTCGCCATGGATCCCCAGCATTAACAGCTATGTGAGAGGGAGAAGAGGCAGCTCGAACTCACTCCAGATGCTCCATTTTCTGAAGGAGACGGTGGTGCCAGTGGAAACCCACGAGGATAAGAGACAGACAGACACCCTGTTCCATTACCGTTCACAACTGGATGTGACAAGACTGCAGAGCTTAAATCTGGTCTGTTGGCTGTGGGAATCACTTTTATCTCTGTCTATCACTAGCTGCTTATGCTATTTAGCATGCAAGTCGTCTTGTTTTGGAGCTTCTGCAGGTTGACATCTCACTTTTAGGTAAGCCTGATGCTGCTCCTGGCATGCCCTCCTGCACTCATCATTGAACCAGGGTTGATCCCCTGGCTTGATGGTAATGGTAGAGTGGGGATACACCAGGCCATCAGGTTGCAGATGTTTTGGAGTCCAATTCTGCTGCTATTGATGGCCCACAGTGCCTCATGGATGTCTTAATTTGCTAGATCTGTTTAATATCTTTCTCATTTTGCACACTGATACTGCCACACAACTCAATATATAAGTGCTCGTGTATAGGCTTCTCACCACCTGATGGGAGTCATCTCCTATCTAAGGAGGGATGACATAATTGTGAATATTTACCTGAACAGTGAGAATCTGAATCAGCCAATTAATTCATCGTGATCACCATCACACTGCAACTGCTCCCCCACCCCATGGAGCAAAACCTCGTACCCGAAGTCAAGATGCTGTGGCTTGGTGCTCCTGGTTTTCTCCAAAGCTTGCAATAGCACCACCTGCAATAACCTTCTCTAAAAATGTAATTGGCAGAAAGTGAGCAGCAGCCAGTGCCATGGGTAGTGAAGCCTGGGGACTTTTTTTTGGTTTATAGTGAAAGATTTTAACTCACTGGTGGGAAACAAAGGAATGGTGACTGAGAAATCTCACAGCACAGATCTTTGAAGGCAGCAGGAAATGTAGATAAGGTGGTTAAGGCAGCATGTAGCATACTTACCTTTAATAGTTTAGGCATGGAATATAAGAACAAGTTATGATAGAGCTGCATATAATATTACAAGTAGAGTACCATGTGCAGTTCTGGTCACCACACTTGAGGAGGAACATGATTGCATTAGAAAGGGTGCAGAAGGATTCATCAAGATGTTACCTGGGTTGGAGCAATGCATCTATGAGGAGACACTAGATAGGCTGGGCTGTTTTGCGCAGAGCAGAGAAGACTGAGGAGGGATCTGATTTAGGTGTTCAAAGGTCCAAGGGGCATAGACAGGGTAGACAATAAGAAATGTTACCCCTTAGTAGAGAGGTCAGTAACCAGGGGGCACAATTTTAAAGTGAGGAACATAAGGTTTAGAGGAGATTTGAGGAAAGATTGTTTCATCCAGATGCATTGTGTATATCTGGAGCTCACCACCTGAAAGGGTGGTGGAAGTGGCAACCCTCGATATATTTAAGAAGTATTTAAATGAACACTTGAAATGCCACAGATTACAAGGCTGCAGACCAAGTTCTGGAAAATCGCATTAAAATAGATAGATCTTTGAAGATTGGTGTGGATATGCTGGGCCGAACGGCCTCTCTCTGAGCTGCAAAAACCTTATGACTCAATGACTCTACCATCTAATTTTATAAAGCACAATTCAGTGGGCCAGTAGAGAGTTGGAGCAGTATGTTTATTAAGTAAGACGAATGAGGTCAGGCTGAGCTGGTGTAACTGTTTTATCAGGTGACAGCCAATTAAAAACCACTCCTTGAAATGGAATCTAGAGAAGCAGACAGAGAGTAGAAATATAGAGATGGGGGGGTGGAATTTCAAGAACTAACACACATGATCCTCTCCACTTTGCTTTTATACTAAATGTTTAATTCACTGCCACTTGTGTACATAATTTGGAAGCTGCCCACTATAGTTTGAAATCAAATGATTGAACGGAGATTGTGTTGCAACAATACAGCTGTTATGGCTTTTGAAATTTGATTTCATTGTATCACTGAAGTGGCTTGGATTGTGAGCTGACTGAGTCTGCTGTTGTGTTACATATTTGAGAAAGACACTCTTTCCCTGTTGTTTCTTCAATGGCCTCTCGCAATCCTTTTGCCAGTTTTTTACATAACAGTAGAACTGAAGATAGCCTTAGTCATAGCTTTGTGCTTATATCTGATTTTTCACTTATTTTACTGACAAGCTCTGAAATAAGCGCAAGATTAAAGTGACAAGTGAGCTGGAGGTTGCGCCTGTGAAATGAACAGAGCTGTTCCCCGAAGTGATCACTCAGTCTGCAGTTGATCTCCCATGTGTAGGAAAGTCACAGCAAAAACAACAAGTGCTAGATGAAGTTGAAAGAGACACAGTAAATTGCTGGTCCATTTGCTTGATCCAAGCAAAATAACCTGAAAGGGAGAGGTAAGAACGTTTCAGAGATAATAGGAACTGCAGATGCTGGAGAAGGGTCTAGGCCCGAAACGTCAGCTTCCCTGCTCCTCTGATGCTGCTTGGCCTGCTGTGTTCATCCAGCTCTACACAGAGGTAAAAACGTGTCTATCTTTGCATAGAAAGGTGCCACTGGAAAGGATGGGAGAGTTGTGAGTGACTGAGAAGTGGACCAGGGTCGGAGAGGACGCAGTACTTTTGGAATATTCAAAGGTGGGGGAGTGGTGCAGAATTGTAACAATATACATACCAATATTACAATTATCACTACCCCAAGTCTCTCCATGTCTCTGTGACTTCTCATATACAGACAGTTTAGATTTTCCACACTTTTTTTGCAACAGTCTCTTCAGATCTGGAAGAATGGTAAGCATCTTGTTTGAGAAGACTTGACCCTGGCTCTGATCTGTGGATCACTTCTCTATTGAAGGAGCTTTTATCTCTTGGATATCTTTTGCAAAGGATGTTGTCTTTGTAGTCATTGTTGTTGATTCATTACCTTATCTGGATAACTCCTCATCTCCTGATTTTTCTGCCTGGAATACAGCTGCTCTGCCAAAATAACTACTTTCTTCCTTATGGTAGCCTGTATTGCAGGATCAAGCAATCAGTCTATTGCAAGAGATAGTCTCTTGCAGTTTCAGGCAGTTTCTTCTTTGTGGCTAAGCCCTGGACCTGTGGACATGGTCCGGCTCCCAATGCAGTTGTTGCTCAGATTAAACATCTTTAGTAGCTCATTATGGTTATTTGGTGAAGTAAACTTTTTCAAACTCTTAGTCATGTGGCTGAAAGTCTGCTGTTCACTCATAAGATCTCTGCCCTGACTTTGACTGTCCTTTATTAAAAGAAAGAGGGTTGAACATTTCCAACAGTCTGTGAAGTCAGTGATTGTCTCTCTGTAGACAATGAAAAACAGTTCTCTTATTGCCAACGTCTGTGCTCTCTCTGGATTCTTCTTGTTTTTGGGTTCTGCCATGAATCTGGGAAATCCAATCCATCCAGTTATCAACTGGGAGTCTCTTGACTCATTGGTCAATAACAGTTTGTTCTCAGACCAGCTTTTGCCCAATGATTTACTTCTGGACCAATGGTTCTCAAAGACGTTGTCGACCTTCTTTAAGTCTTCTGAAGTAGAGTTGAGACCTGCATGCAGAATCAAAAGTGAAGTAGGTTTATTGTGAATTCTCACCTCTTTTACAAATTGTGTTGTAGTGTAGCTTATAGCATTCCTATGTTTCTGACTGTAATTCCACTGTGGCATTTAGTCGTATCTCTGTAAGGCTGTAACTTTTGCTTCTTCTGCCAAGGTATCATGACCACAGATCACCAAGAAACACCTTCAGAATCATTAGCTTGGAACAAATGATTGCAGGGATAAGGAATTTCCATTATGCAGAATGATTGCAGAGGTCGGAACTATTCCTGGAGATGAGAAGGTTGAGGGGATTCTTATGGAGTCATACAGTATCAAGGGATCTCAACAGAGGAGATGATGAGAAACTGTTCCCATTGGTGAAAGGAGAGAGAACCAAAGTTGACCCATGTAAAGAAGTTAGCAAATGAAACAGTAACAATATAAGGAGAATTGCTTTTTCAAACAGCAAGTGTATCGAATTTGGAATGCATTGCCTTAAAGTAGGGTGCAGAGGTATAGTCAAATGAGAATTTCTGAAAAAGAAAAAGTTTACACAGCAGTATGAA